TGGCTGCAGCAACATGCTCTTCTAGCACGGAGCTCCCAACATGCGACAGAGGCCAGCTGGCTTGGACACTCCTCTGGGGCTCTTGTCCTCTCCTCCAGTGGGGGAAGCCCTGGAATAAGGGGCTCCCTGGAGGGACAGCCTGACACCAAGTGTCTCCCCTGGGCACTATCAGCCCCACAGCTCCTCGGCCAGCGTCCCTGGGAATCCTGCTGGCAGAGCTGTGGGCTGGGCCCGGCCACGGGCCTTACCCACGTCCCCAATGAGTGTGTGCAGACGGTCACGGGTCGACGCCGGCACAAAGCTTTGCAGTTTCTCCAGCCTGGCTCCATCACGGGAGATGACAGCGACTCGGAAACCTGTGGGCGAGAGGGTGTCGGGGAGACGCAGCCCGAAGCGTCCTGCAGCCGGCTGGAAGGGAACTCGCGAGCACGGCCCCTTGGTCCCCAGCACACAGAGCCTCTGCCCAGGGCTTCCTGGGTCCTCGCACACCAGCATTGTCCTGTTAGCAGGGAGGGGTCATGGCTTGTCCCCTGGGTGGCCCTGGGACCAGGCCTGGGGTGGCAGCGCAGCTTGTGCTGGTGAGTGAGGGAGTCTCCGGAAGCAGGGACAGTGCCCTGGGCTAGGGAGGGAGGGAGACGCTCCAGGCCTCCATTCCCTGCTCTGCCACAGGGAATCTCCGTCTCCCAGCTGAGGAGGGGGGTGATACTGACGCTCCTCCCTGTAGCAGCTCATCAGGAGAGCTGGGGTGAGGGCAAGCTGCTGTGTGCTCCAGGCTAGCACAGGGGCTGGGGGAGGTGATGGAAGGAGCCTTGGTAAAGCCAGACCCTTCGCCTTCCCCTCTTGCAAGGGAGCTGCTCTCCCTGTCTCGTGACCCGCCCAGCACCCGGCCTTGCGCACACAATGCCATGTCACGGGGCCTCGGTGGGGACAGGGAGCTGCACCAGATCTCCTCCTTCACCACAGCTCTGTGCAACACGTGCAAACGCGGCTGTGCCAGCGCCACGCTGCTCCCACCAACCCCCACCGCAGGCGTCTGGGTGCTCGGCTGGGTGTGGCGCTGTCGGGAGAAAACACCAGAGTCATCTCTCTCTCCCCCATTTCTGCTTGTCTCAGCACGTGGCTCTCCCTTCAAACACAGGGCTGGAAGCAGAGCCGTTCATCGGGGCATCGCACCCATACAGAGCAACAGCTCTGCCCACGCTGGGCCCCAGCGCCAGCCACCTCCTGCCCATAGGTCTGGGTGGAGCCTTCTACACATAAAACTAACCCCCGGCTGGAGGGTGCTGGCGTCCTAGAGAGATTTGGGGCAAATGGCACCAGAGCCAGGCTGCCGTGGGGTGAGAGCTGGGGACTTGGGACCGCCGGGGGGCAGCAGGTCAGGCTGGTACCTCTGAAAGGGAGTGGTCCTGATTTCTGCCCCAATCTGGCTTCCCAGGGCACGTACCCTACGCAACAGCAGAAACAGACGGCTGGCGCCAGGGGGCGGACGAGATGGAGCTCTGCTGCCTAGGACTCAGGAACGTGGATGCCAGGCAGCGAGAGGCAGAGCCAGGCGCCAGCCAGGCAGAGAGGAGGCGCAGCATACAGGTGCAGGGGGCACCGGAGCGCCGAGGGCAGGCAAGCCGCCCAGCACTGTGCCATCGCTGGCAGAATTCGCACAGGCAGCTCTGCCAGGGCACTCGCCCCTCCTGCACGGTCGTGGCTGAGCTGGGAGCAGTGCGTGCCCCAGCCGGCCCATGCCCTTTGCTCGCTAGGGTGGGCAGGCGAGAAAGGCTGGGCTGAGCAACACATCGGGGCAGCAGGCACCCACAGCGGGTTTCCCCTCACTCACGGGCGAGGTCCTGTCCCCCCCAGCAGGGTGCTCTCAGCTCAGCTCCACCCCAGAGTCAGCCGGCTGCCTGGCTGGGACACAGCAGCTTTTTGGCCCTGTTGCTGCCCCAGATCTAAGGGTCTGCAATCATCCAGGAGCTGGCAGGGGCTGGTCTCAGTAGGAAGGGACCCGGTGTCACAGCCAGGGCAAAGCCCACGCTGCACCTGCCAGCTCGTATGTGGCTGTGGTTAGAAAACAAATCAACCAACTCCCCGTCGTCACCTCTGCCAAACGCCCCACTCAGCCGGCTGCCCTTACCTCTCTCCAGCAGTGACTTCACTATCCCGGATCCCACCGCGCCAGCCCCTCCAAGCACCACGACCACTCTGTCCGAGGCAGACATCCCGGCGGCCAGATGGAGACCAGGCTAATGGCAGAGCCACGCCAGGGCCAGCCACCAGCCAGGCTGTGGCTGCTCCCAGGCAGGGAAATAAGTAGGGAAGGTGCATACCTAGCCCCACCTCCAACTCCCACGGCCACACCCACCACCCACTTAGCCCCGCCTCCTGCTACTGCCCCCACCCGTCCTTTGCCTCCTGTCTCACTATTGCTCAGGGTCAGTTCGGACTCAGTGGCCCTGAGACAAACGCTCTGTCGGGCCACCCTGGATGCCAGCGCAGGGCTGAGTGCCTTGGCCAGTCCAGCCATAAGCGTCTCAGGGATGGGGCTCCCACCCCTGCCTCTGGGAGACTCCACCACCCTGCCAGTCTCCTGGGGCCGTTCCTCCCCACTCAGCTCCGGCCCGTGTGGTCCATGCCAGCCCTCCCCTCGGTCACTGCCCCCTCCTGGCAGTCATTTAGCAGAGAGCCTGGCTAGCGAGGTCAGCCAGGCCCTCTCCGCTCGCTCCCTCTGCAGCTCTTCACTGCCCACTCCCTCCTCTCCCCTGCCTGGGCTCTGTGTCCAGCTCCCCCTCTGGGAGTGCCCCAGGGAGCCGCCACCTCTGATCTCAGGCTCCTCTTCTGGGCCGTGCTCTGCACAGACAGCTCCCCGGCACGCCCACTGCCCCCTCCTCGCTCTCTTGGCAGGGCAGCCTCTGACCCGGGGCCCCCCCGTCCTTCGGGATGCCCCCATTGCTGCACAGTGGGGACCGGGCGCTAACTCGGGGCAGGGTGGGGTTCCTCTGCACCAAGACCACTGTCCTGTTGACTCCTTCGCCCTCTGCTCTGTTCAAGCCACAGACCCGTCTGCCTCTCGCTCCCGTTCCCTCCACTCGGGCTCGGAGCTTCCGTCTCTGGGAGGCAGCTCCCCGGCTCTACACTCCTTTGGCTCGCCCCTGGCTCCCCCTTGCCCCTCTCTGCGTGTCATACGGCAGGCTCCCGGCTTCCCCTCCACTTCCCTCCCCTTAACTGCTTCTCTTGAGCACAAGGAGCAACCATGAGCCGAGCTCCCTTTCCTCTCCTGCCCAGCCCCATGAGCCTGAACTCTCCGTCAGCCCTCCCCCCACTCCCGAGCTCTTCGTCACGCCGGCCACACGTGCTGCGGCCTGCGCTCGAGTCCCGTCAGCTCCCCAGCTCCGTGCCGTGCAGCCCGCCCAGCGGGATGCCTACCTCCTTCCACCCAGAGCAGCGTAGCCATGTGCCCACAGGCTGCCGAGGGCTCCCCTTGGGCGTCAGGTTCTGGTTCAAAATGGCCCAGCCAACCTCTCTGCTCCTCTTCCAGCTCCCAGTCACCTCCTCTCTGCCCCTCCACCACTGATGGAAGAGCCTTCTCCTTTGTCGCTCTTGCCATGTGGAATGGCCTCGCGGGATCTCTGCCACGGGAATATCCAACCTCATTGCTTCTTCGTGGGCCCCTCTGCTGCAGGGCACTCTGGGGGGACCGGCTGCATGACCAGGGCCTGACCCAGGTGTGTGCCACAGACAATCCCTTCCCCACACCCAGGAATGGGATCAGCAGTGCCTGTGTTTGGGGCGGGAGGGGTGTCTGTCTTTCAGTGAGGTTAGCACTGCCAGTCCTGGAGCCGGATAGCCCCCTACATCGCCCCCTCCAATGTGAGTGTGCTTCCCACGGCCAGGCCGACCTAACATTCCTGCCCACAGCCCCTCCACGCCCTGCAGCAGAACCTGGGACCTGCGCTCTCCGCGGGCCGGCTGGCCTGCGCTGCGGGTGCATTAGCACTGCTCTCAGGCAGTGCCCGCTGTGGCAGGCTTGGCCCCGCCCCAGGAGCTCACTATAAAGACAAGGGCAGCTGCAGCCAGCTCCTATGATGCCAATAGGCTGCATCCCTGGTGGGCAAAGCCTGGGCATAACCCTGCTCCGGTGGCCACAGCTCCCCGCCCCGGCGCTGTGCTCGGTGGGGCTGGTTCTAGCCCCACGGCCCCATCTAGCGTTAGAACCAAGAGTTCCCCCTTGGTGCCTGGTGGGCTGTCACCACGGCAGGCTGAGGGTCTCGAGCTGGGACCTTGGCCAAGGCTGGGTGGGGAAGGGGCTGCAGCGTGCTTGGGTTTCCCCTGTGGTGGGTGCATTTACCCCCTACCTGCAACCACCCCCATTGCACGGAGGGTTTGGGGCACTGTGCCTTGCAGTCAGCGGAGCCATGCTGTGCCCATGGGCCGCGGGGGTGGCAGCAGCTAGCGAGGCCTCTGGGGAGGCCAGGAATGGAGGCTGAGGGAAGGCACTGGTGCCCTGGGGAGACCCTGGCCTGCTGGGCACCACTAGTGTGGCCAGTGGCTTCCTGCCCTCCCACTGGCCCAGCCAAGTTCTGGGGTGGGACGGGGCAGATGGGTAGGCAGAGGCCTCCAGGCCTGGGGGTGCCTTGGGGAGGGCGGCTCTGGGTGGGACAGGGGTGTGGGAAGAAGCCCCAGGGCTGGGGGTGCCCTGGGCGTGGGGGGCCCTGCCCAGGGGGCAGGTGGGCGGGTGCCCGGGGTGCTCCAGGCAGGGGTCCCTATGCGGGGTCTCTGGCCAGGCCCAGCCCCCCTCTCTGGGCTCCGCAGGGGTCACACGCGGAACCAGGCCTCCCTGCAGCCCCCCACCCACAGCCAGTGCTGAGCCCGGGGGCCCCCGGCGAGACAGGCCGCCTGGGCAGGCAGGGAGGGGGTTAACCCGCCAGTGGGCGGGGCGCCGGGCAGCCCCGCCTCTCGGCACGTGACCTCCACTGGCCACGGGGCGGAACTAGAGGAAACCGGAAGTTGTTGCCCGGCGGAGGAACGGAAAGACCCTGGGCCGGCAGGTGAGTGGTGCCGGGGGCCTCCGCCTCTCAGCCCCCCCTTCCCCCACGGAGGGGCGTGGCCTCCGCCCCCTTACCCCACGGAGGGGCGTGGCCTCTGCCTCTCAGCCCCCCCTTACCCTAAGGATGGGGGAGGGGTCTCTGTGTCTCCTCCCCCTTTACCCCATAGGCTTTGAGAGGGGTCTCCATCTCTGCCCCTCCCCCCTTCGCCCCCTATACCGGGGGGGGGGGGGGGCGGGGTATGTCTGTGTATCAAAGGTGGCTTTGGGGACTGTCCTGGAGGGAGAGGCCAAGGGTTGGCCCCACCCCTCCCAGCCCCCTCCCCAGGCCGGGCACTGGCTGCTGAGAAGTGGGGCAGAAGACCCCCTCCAGAGCCTGAGTGAGCCGCTAAGGGGGAGGGAAGCTGTCCTGACTCTCGATGGTGGAGTTGGAGCAGGGCAGGGCAGAGCTGCCCCTGGTTGGGTTGCACAGGACACTCTGGTGGCCCTGGGTGGGTGCTGCCATTCCTGGGCTCTTAGCCGCTCACCCCTGCCCTCTCCGCGGCTCTAGGATGGGCTCCAGCTCCCTGGTGCAGCAGGAGTACCGCAAATGTCTGGAGAGGGATTTCCGAAGGGGCCACTCTGGAGTCTGCACTGACCTGGCCCTGAGGAAGTTGCTGCGGCAGCACCTGCTGGCGGATCCGGAGCTGCACTACGCCCTGAGGAACGACGTCTTTGCCGTGCTCGCCAGCAGCCTTCGGGGATGGGAGGCCCTGCCCTTGGCACTCAGGGGGCTGGCCAGGGCCTTTGAGGTCCTTGAGCTGGCAGCTGTCAATCTGCACCTCCTCCCTTGGCGCAAGGAGTTCAGCACAATCAAGGTGAGCATTGGTGTGTGGTCATGGTGCCGCCTGGCTGCACCGGTGTCTCTCCTGGGCGTGCTGGAGAGAGACAGGGAGCTGCTGAAACAGGGTGCGGGGCCATGCCGAGCACATCACTGAAGAGAGAGAGGGTCACTCCAGGGACTTCAGCACAGATTCCCTGGGGTGCAAATTCCCCAGGGGGCTAGAATATTGGGGCCAGTCCCTCGTGTAGCTGATGATTACACTCGTGCCCAGACAGATCTGGGATTTGTTAGAGACCCACCCCCGATCTAACCCCAGGACGGGGAGTCAGGAATGATCCCTCCGGCAGCAGCATAGGTGTGTGTTGGGCCTTTAGACAAAGGGATCCCACCACGATGGAAACCCCGCCTGTGCCTGTATGGCCCCGAGTGGCTGGAACACCCAGGGGCAGAGGTACTTCGTCCCTGGGCGGCGTCACTGATTGTGTGGCCATCACACAGTCTCGGGTTCAAGGATCTTAGCAACGTGATTGGGACAGTCACAGAAATAGGCTGGGGGCTCAGGGCTGTGTAGGACCTGGGACCAGCTAGTCCCTTGATGCAGTGGGCCGTGTCTCCAAAGGAACCCCAGTGCAACGGGGCAGGTCCCTGAGGCACCCGCAGCTGATGTTAGGAAGGTGAGGAGGGGCACTTCCCCGGTCTGACTCCACTGCCTTCCTGGGAGTTGAATTTCCTACCCTGCCTGGCAGGCCTGGGAGCTGTGGCATCCTCTGGTGGCTGTGCTGCCTGGAGCGCCCTCCCCACTAGGGCAGTCTGGAGGCTGTGGTGGCGGTGTCTCTGCTTTGGGCTGCTGGGCAGGGGCTGAGAATTCAAGCTGCTCTCAGGTTGCTGTGGGCTTGGTGGTGCTGACTGCTCGTTGGGTCAGTGTTTGTGGGGCGGAGGCGGGGTGGTGAGGTCACCGGGTTAGACTGGCTGGGAGAGGGTCAGCTGCGTGCTCAGCAAATAACGCGGTGCTGCTGTTGCAGATGTTCTCGGGGGTGTACGTGCACTCCCTGCAGGCGGCGCTGTCAGACAGTGACATCGCCAAGAGCTTCCACAGGATGGGATATGTGAAGAGAGACGACCATCACCTCGTGGTGTCCCGGCCACCCCCGGGAGCTGAGCTCGTCCAAGCCGCCTGTGGCTTCTTTGCAGCGAGGGTGGAGTGTGAGATCCTGGGGGAGATCCTGTGGCAGCTGGAGCCATGCCAAGTGTCTGCTGAAGACCTGCTGCGGGTGCGGAGGGGCACCAGGGACCTGGACGGCTGTGTGGAGAAGCTGCGGAGACTTGCAAGGTGGCCGAAAGGCAGAGAGCCCAGAGCCAAGGTGGCTCCTGGCTGTGCTGAAAGCATTGATCTCTATGGGGAGGAGCTGAAAAGCCCAGAGGCTGCGACCCTGTACAGTGACCCCATGGGAGCCAGGCTGCAATCATCCCTATGGGGTTTGTCCTCCCAGGAGCTACACAGGCCCCCCAACCTGTGGGGTGAGGCTGTTGGAGGACCTGGTCCTGAGGATCTCGGGGGAAATGAGGGAAGGATCTGGGACAACCAGAGGGCTAATGAGTCTGGCCAGGAGCAGCCTTATAGAAATGGGCCCGACTCAGAGGCTGCCGCCTTCTCTTTTATCTCCTTAAGAGGGGCGCTTAGCAGGATCAGTGACTCGGTCTCTCCTGAGAACATGGGGAGCACAAACCCTTCTCTGAGCTCCCCCTCTGACACTGCAGTGCTCGAGTCACACGAGGCAGCCAGCTGCCTAATGCCCCGCTCTGCTGGCAAGGTTATGCCCTCGGAGTGCAGAGCTGCCAGCTTCTCGCCCAAGCCTGCAGAGAGACCACGGGAGCTGCCGCCTGCTGCCCCATGGCTAGAGAGCAGCGAACGGGAAGTGCTGGAGTTACCGTGCTACCAGCTGCATTCATGCCTGGTCCGAGGTGCTCTCCCCTCCTACTGCTGTGCCACATGCTGCCTGCTCCACGCCAGCTGCTGTGATGCCATGCAGACCTGCAGGAGTAGCCACTGCATGCAGGAGCTGCAGAGCGAGGAGCGGAAGCGCCTGTGGTTACAGAGGACCGAGGTGGACATGCTGCTGAACGAAGGCTCTGGGGCTCGGCCCTAGCTACAGGACGAGCTGCCTCCCCAGTGCCTGCAAATGCTGTGGGATGTGTCAACCAAATCCTACCTCCGGGGGAAGCATCAGGACTTGCCGGATGCCACCCGGTTCTGTTCTAGGGGAAGCCTCTGGTGGCGGAGCTGATTTCCTCCCCCCACCCCGCTACAGCGGTGCTCTGTAGAGACTCGGCCCAGATCCTCCCCTGCTGTAGCTGCCCTACATTCAACACTACTACTCTTCCCTCCCACCTCCTCTGAGCCAGTTCCAGGGATTGGCCTCCGCTGTGGCTCTGGCATGATCTCCTGGCCCTGCTTAGTCACAGCTCTAGCTTCCCTCTGCCAGAGGAGCTGGGGCCTCTTAGCTCACAGGCTTCTCAGGACAGCCTGAAATATTGGACCTAGGTAAGGACAAGGAGAAACGAGAGACTTGCTCTTTTTCAAGCGATTCCCTTGAGTTGGTGGAAGGATGCTGCTCTGTGGCATGGCCCATGTGGACAGCTCTGCCCCTGCTCCAGGAGAGGAGCACAGATTAACTGTCCACCAAAGGCCAGCCATGAGAGGAGAGATGATCTCGTGCTGTTTCCCAGCTCATGCTGGTCCTACCCATTGCTGCTCAGGCTGACTGGCCTTAAGGTTCTGGGTGGGACAAAAGGTGCCCAGGGGAAGAAGTGTCTGGGTTTCTGGCAGTGGGCGTTTGAGCTAGAGCAGCTTTTGCCCCAGACTGACGGGTCAGAAGGAAATGACAAACGCTTTGAGCATCTGCCCTTTATTGGGTGATGTGTCTCCTGCACCCTGCCTGCCTCAGCTGCTCTGGGCGAGTTCACAGCCTTCAGGGAGTTAGCAAGCTAGGCTCTTGCCCTGCAGTATTCCCTAGTACCAAATCCCTGTCCTCATGAGGGCTGTGGCACTTTGGGTTCTCCAGACTCAATGGTTGCTGGAGCTTTGGAGGAAGGGTTACACTGTTAGTCCCATGGGCCGCAGTGCATTAGGAGTTCCCTTGTCCTATGGCTGATGTTCCAGCTCCTTGGTCAGCAGAGCCTTAGGGATTCAGTTACCATCTCCCCAGGGCTCAGCTCTGATGTCTCAGGACTCTATTCCTCCGCCTAGGTCACTGCTTGCACCTTTCCTGGGAAGGTGGTGAGTGCTTTGGGGCAGAGCAAAGCTTCTCCCTCCCGTATCAAGGGTTAAGTGGAGTGGGCACTGGCTCCTGGAAATGACAGCCTATCCCCTCCCCATGTGCACACCCAGCTGGAAACTCAAAGGCAGCAGAATGCTGGACCCAGGAAAGCCAAAAAGGGAGCTGCCTGGTGCTGTTGCCTGGGGGGGGCATGTCCCCCTCTTGCTATGCTGTTTAGAGCAGCACTGCCAGGGCTCCCGGCTCAAACTCAGGGAGGGGAAGCTGAGAACACTGCGGGTGGCCCCCAGTTTCAGTGTGAGGTGGCTGGAATCAGTGCCAGCAGCCAGGCACTAAACAGCCACCCTGAAAACCAACCCCAGGTCAAATCCAGTGGTGATGAGTGCTGTACCTTCCAGGGCACGGGGAGAGTGTGCAATAGGATGGCACCCCTACCTTGCAGCTGGCCCACTGTCAGTCTGCACTGGCCAAGTACCCCAGCCCCTCTGGCTGGGTAAGGCCCCCTTCCCAACTCAGCTCTTGCTGGTAACCCTCACCTCACCACAAAGAAAGAACGTTGTCTATCACCTCCACAGTTACCTAATAAAGTGTTTTTCTTGCTAGCCTGGTATTCTGGCTCCTGGGCAGGGTGTGGGAGCAGGAACAGTATGAACTCATCCTATGCCACATAAATTCCACCTGCCCATTACCAGTGGCTCTTGCTTCAGACTTTCATGTCCTTAACTCGCTAATGTTGGTGGCTCATTAACAGAGGGTGATCTTGTTAAGAAGCTCCAGGCGATGACGGGTAGAGGGGAAGCTGTGGCTACCCAAGCTGCTGAGGGTGCAGTGTGTCACAGCAGAATGAGTCAGAAGCCTTGAGATCTCAGCACAAGACAAGCAGGATTGGCTCAGGCCCCTGCTGAGGTGGCACAGCTACTGGAGGAAGTGATGTCGCTGCTGCAGTACACTGGCTGAGCACTGGGAGAGCACCAAGCAGTGCCCCTCACCTGCAGCTGGGCTGGGCATGTTTGTCACTGTGGCCCCAGGGTGCTCGGTGTGGAGGGGGGAAGAGTTCTGAGCTAGGTCGCTACATTGTGCTTCCAGGACTCTGCGCTCCCCGTCCTGTGCAGGGATAGCTGTGACACCCAGAAAGAGATCTGGCTGAGACACGCTACACACAGCAGACATTCCTCGCTGGTGCTGGCCCGGCTGCCTGGGGTAAACAAGCTAACTGGCCAGGAGAGCAGCTCTGCAGGACTATCCGTTACAGCTGACACTAACACGACATTTTATTGAGGGCAGGATCACATGAACCACAATGAGGAACAAAGAACCAAGGGACTTTTCGATCAACAGTGAGCTGGGCTAGGCCTGCAGTGCAGCTTGTAACAAACCCAGCAGCCATTCAGGGTCGGCCGGCACCTCTTGCCCCTGGCTGCCCACCTAGGGTTCAAGGCTCCTTTCAGCCCATAGGAATGTGTTCACACACTGGCCTTTCCCTGGAGCTTCTGCCAGCTAGAAGGATCCAACCCCAGGGGCTGGTGATGGGCCAGCCGCCATGAAGGATGCGACTGGCACTGGGTGGAGAGGGACGCAGGATAGATACTAAGTTTGCTCTGACTGCTCTCTTGGTGCAAAGATGATAGAACAATCCACAGCCCTCGAGCGTGTCTCCAGCAGCTGCATTTGAGTGGAAGTTCGGGGTACTGTCGTCCTAGCACGCACTGGACCACCCAGCAAGAGGCACCCTGAGAACATCGACAGGTCAAGAGGAGCTTGTGCTGCGTCTGCCTTGGGTCCTATAGCAGCTAGTTACGAATCCTTCAGCTCCCAGCGCCTTCTCATCCTCTGTTTTGGATGTTCCCTCCATCCGCATCTTTGTCCAAAGCTTAAGCAGAAGAACACACGTTGAGGAGAGGGAGTGAGTAATCACAGACTGGCTGAGGCTGTTGCCATTGTGGAGAACACCAGCTTCTGGGGAGTAGGGTGGGAACTTAGGGTCCTCCAAAGCATGGCCTGAGCCCTGTGGGGCATGGGAGAGGCAGCAGAGCTGGGCCCCGGGCTGGGAGTGCTGCAGATCGCATGCTCACTCGGGCAGCGAAGAGCACCCCCAACGCCTGGCGACACGTGCAGCCTTTGGGCATGAGAGTCTGCACATAAAAACAAACTAAACTTCCCAGGGACTGAAGAGGCCAATAGGACGGAGCGGGCGCCTTCCAGGGCGAGAGCAGTACATTGGCTGGGAGGTCTGTTCCCCCACTCACAGATGGGGCTGTGCCTCTCCCAGACAGGCCAGTACACCAAGGCTCCTCTCCTGGCAAGTAACTGGGGAAACGGGCTCCTAGTCTGCACTCCCAACAGGAGCTAGGCTCCAGTCTTTTGCAAGCAGTTTAACCTGAGAATCCTGGGGCAGAAAGTGAAGTGGGACAGCCCGTTAGTGCTGTGGCCTCCAGTCACCTGTGGTTCTGTCCAGTCCTCATCACAACCCCTTGCCAGCTGTGAAAGTCTCAAGCCAGGAAAGGCCCAAGGGCTGGAATAGCAGGTAGTGCTGTTTGGGAGGAGCATCAGCACGGCAGCGTGGGAGGCTGCAGGTCAGGGCTGGGGCAGGGGCTTCTGCCCTGCACTTTCTAAGCACTCAGTTCATCCTGAATTGAGAGGCGTATCCTCCCCTGTCATGTTACTGAAGGGCTGGGTCACTGCTGGTCCGATTCCAGGGGAGAGAGAAGATAATTCTTACCTGGCAGAACGTGCAGCCTCAGGGCTTGCCGCGCTTGCCCTGGCTCTCTGCCCCGGCGCTGGCGGGAGCAGCTCGCTTGTTGCGGTGGTGGGGGAAGGTGGGCATGAGCTCCGGTTCACAGGCTGGGGAGAAGGGGAGAGGAAATGAGTCTCAGGAAGGGCTCAGAGTCCCGTAGGCTCCAATGGTGCAGAGGAGTCACTTACGCAAGGGCTTTTCTTTGAAGTAGGAGCTCTCCAGGCAGTCTCCCGCTGTCGCCCTGGGGAGGCAAATGCAGGTTACAAAAAAGTCCATTGTCCCCACAAACACTCCCTCTTCTTCTTCTTCTTCTTCTTCTTCAGGAAACCTCTGTAGACGTGAGACCTTCCTTGTGCCCAAGCAGCTCAGCGAAGCTGTGACCATGCCCCTGCTTTCACTTCCTGTCCAGAGGGCAATGCGCAGTACATCCCACGCTGGGCTCCTTCTGCATAATCCCTGAGGCCCTGCCTGCCCAACGGCATCTGGCCGGGGAGCAGTACAACCTGGTCCTATAACGGTCAGACACCCCCACAGTCTTGGGGTAAAGAGGGCAGCAATGCCTGGGGGATCAGCCCCGGGAGCAAGGCAGCACTGCAGGAACTGGCACCGCTGGCCCTGCTGGTTTGCCTTGATCTGCTCTAGCCTCAGGGGAGGAGCTGATTACAATGTAAATGAGCCCCCAGCTCGGCCCCAGTGCTTCCTGGGAGCTGACAGCTCCCCCACGCACTGCAGCTGTTTACAGCGGAGGGGAACAGCCCTGCCTGGCGGGAGGGTGGCAGGAGCCACCCCCACCCCATACACTGAGGAGCCCGGGCCCCACATCACTCTGGCAGGTCCATGGCCTGCGCTGGGCTGCAGATGGCTCTTTACCTCTTCTTGGGGTCATACATGAAGAGGAAGTTGAGCAGGCGAAGCCCAGCCTCCGACAGCCATGGGAACTTGTGCTTGAGGTTGTTGTAGGGCTGCTTCCGCAGGGTGTACTGGCTCACTAGGGGCAGCTTGGAAAAGCCCTGGGGGGAAAGGGAGACATGCGAGGGTCAGGGAAGAGTGTGGCAGGGTGGGGGATGCAGAGCGAGCACTTACTGGCCAGATGTTTTCATTGGGTGTCCCCAGCAGCTGCACGATGAGGTCAATCTGGTGGATCTCTGAGCTGCCTGGGAGTAACGGCTTGTGGGCCAGCAATTCCGCGAGGATACATCCCACTGCCCTAGGGAGGGAATAGGCCTCCTGGGTTAGTGGGAAGCAGGCGCACGAATCCCTTGCATCAGACTCCTCCTCCTTTGCCCCCAACAGCAGCTCCCTCCTGTTGCTGTAGACCCACCTTGGCCCTGGTTCAGTACGAGATCTTTATACAGATGTGAACACTGCTTCCTGAAGTACCGAGCTGTTGCCCTGACCCCGTCAGTCCCCTGGCTGTCCCCCAGCTAGTTCTGCAAATTCATAACTGCAAATTCCTGGCCAGAGCATTACTCTCCAATACGAGAGCCCCTTACCACATATCTATGCCCGTGGTCTGGGTCGTCGTTCCCAGCAGCAGCTCTGGGGCCCGGTACCTGTACAATGTAATGAATGCAGGAATTACGAATCGGTGGAGCTCCCAGATGCTTCCCATTGTCTCATTCACCCAGATTGACTGCAGGGCTGACCCACGGCCTCTGAGGGGGTCCACGATAAGGTGACTCACTCAGGACTAAGCAGAGCCTACTCACCAGAGGGTGACGACTTTAGGGGTCATTGGTTTTAGTGGCACTCCGTGAGCACGAGCCAGCCCAAAATCCGCTGCAAGAGAGGGCAGATTCAAGGTCAAAAATCAGGCCAGCTACTGCCCTTGCCTCTGTATTACAAAATGAGAAAGCTGGAAGCACCTCTGGAGCTGCATTAGCAAAGGTGACGGGAGCTCACCTATCTTCACGCAGCCTTTATCGGTCATGAGCAGATTAGACACCTTCAGATCCCTGCCATCAGAAAGAAGCCAGTTACTGATGGCTGTGTTAGAGGCAATGCTTCACGTGGGGCCACTCCATGCTGCCCAAAGTACCTGCTGCTCCAAGAGGGCCTCCCTCTGTCCCACTGAGAGCCAAGGAAACAGCCCAAGTGGCACAGCTGGCTCCCAATGTCCAGTCCATTACCCAGTGCCCCTCCCATACAATCCTTTTACCCACAGTGCCTTTCACTCTGCCCCTTACCTATGGATGATGAAGTTCTCATGAAGATACTGAAGGCCCTTGAGTACTTGTAAGATGATACACTTCACCTGCGCATGGTGGGAGACGGGATTAGCAAGACAGCATCACATTAGTACTTAACATGTATCTGCAAAGGTTCCTACCCTGCCCTCCCTCATCACTCCAGTATCTCAGTGCCTTCCAGTTGAGCATTAAGCAATCTGACTAACAGCTGCTGACAGCTTATGCCCTGGTTCATTTTATGCAGAAGCTCAAGGTCAATGCAAAGCCGTGCGCCCTAGTTTGGAGCCCAAGCCCCAAAACATTGCAACAAAGGGGTGTTCTAACTGCAGCGATGCAAACAGGGTTTAATGCAGGCAGCAGGCAATGCCCCATATCACAGAGGGCCAAGGGGGTTAGATTATTCTACCCTATGCTAGACAGGACAGAGGTCGTTAAGTTATGATGAAATGAGGTCATGTGACCTGATGACTGGCAGCCAATTTACAGACTGGCATCTGTCTCCCAGTGCCCACCACCAGCTCCACCGACACTACCGATGCAGACTGCCTCAATGCTCTGGGCTGGAATCTGCATCCTGGGCTGTAGGCTGAGCAGTATATTGGTAGCCTGCCGCAATGGCTAGAGCCA